CTCTGGTTAATGATTGGGCTACTTCAGCCAGTGTTGTAACCTTTGGTATGGGCAGCATGCAGCGTGCTTGTCGTGTCCTACTGGGATACAAAGATTAAGCATCTCAAGAGTTTAAAACTCATGTAAGTAACGTAAACCGGTGATAGTAGCAAACAATATAAGAGACCAAAGGCTGGTGAAACCAAAGGCACATGGTAGTTGCAATTTAATGTCGAAATGTAGGAGGTAATTTTGATAGGAAAAGTAAAAGGTGATATAAACCAAATGACACAGTTTCAAAGGGGATATAAGAACAGAGACTCTAGATGTTCATATGGACCAATGTGTTATATAGCTTTTTTAATGTATATGGCATTCTTCTCTTTACACAAAAAAATGTGAATCGCAAAAGCGTGGATGTTGTGATAAATCTTTATAAATCATTTTAATTCAGAAGTTGAACCTAACTGCAGAAAGCTCTGATCTGACACCCTCTGCAGAGAGAGTGAGTTAGCATGACAAGTCCAACATGACTCTTCTTTGAAATAGTTATGCAGTATATTACTGGTGGACTTAGCTGGAATATTGTGCCCACTTCTAGGCATTTCACTTCAGGAAGCACGCATGGTCTTGGAGAAGTTGCAGTGCAGATTTATCAGAATGGTACCAGGAATGATGGAATTCAGTTTTGTGAAGAGACTGTAGAATCTCAAAGCTTTCTACTTGCAGCATAGAAGGCTGTGGGGGGAATTAACAGAATGATTCAAACTTTTAAAGTGCTTTGATGGAATGAATATGGCCAGACTGTTTCCATTAACAGGGTTGTCAATAAGCAGAGGGTACAGATTTAATATAATTGGCAAAAGAAAAGGAAGTTTTTTTTTACAGTTATGATTTGGCACAGATTGCTCAAAAGGGTGTTGGAAGCAGATTCAGTAGTAATTTTGGAAAAGGAGTTGGAACTATAAAGTTATAAAAGGAAACATTTGTAGAGCAATGGAGAAAGAGCAGGGGATAGACCTGCTCCAGTATTCTGTGTTGCTTGTGGTTAATCTGGAATTTTTGTTCTGCTTTTTGAAGTTGTTAAACAAATTGTAATGAAAGTACTTTATTTTCAAAGGAAAAGTTAGCGATTTACAAATAGCTACCAGCCAATAAGATTGAAAATATTTATTTAAATGCAGTCCTTTGTTATGAAATATACCATATCATTTAAATACGGGTCGGTTCTGAAAGTTTTGCATATGTATCATAGAACACGTTTTATGGAAATTGCTGTCCTGTTCTCTGATTTAATTCAATTTCCATTTTTGTGCATTGGTCTATTCTATTTTTCTATCCTGTAAGTTCTTAATAGGCATGATAATTCAACAGTACCTGGGATTTCGGCTGAGCTATCCCATGTACCGCATTCGCTCATTGTAGCTTAACACTTTTTGTACAGGCAACAGGGGAGAGTGTAACAACTTGATTGGAAGAGTGAAATGTATTGCAGTGTGGTGTTATAGTTTGGTCCTGTCCATTTTTAAAATCAATTTTTGTTCTCCAACATGTGCCATGGTCAAATATATTTTATAACCAGAACTGCGTGCATTTAAGCTATTCCCAAACCTGTCTAATTAAGCTAATGACTGGAAAGTGTACTCGTAATGGCCCAATGTGGCATACCAGCTGGATTTTCCTCCTTGGAAGGAAGTGCTAGGTGGTATGGCAAATGTCAGGAAACCGATTTTGAGCAAATTGTACGAAGTTGCTATCATAATCCCACTCCACACACAGCACAATTAAGCTTTTACCTACGTACAGCTTTTACAGTTTTATTTTAAGCTGTACGGTTGGTGTTTGTGCATCAGTTCAGATTTTTAACTTCTGTGAAAACTGGTAGATTTCAAGTTGCTGTTTTACACCTCACCTACATGATACTGTAGTAAGTGCCTTTCAGTGTGTGCATATGACCCCTTCCATTGTGTATTTTGAAGTGCATAATGGATTTTAAAATTTAATGAAATTCACTTAATTTAAAAAAAGCTTTCAGTGATTAGTACCATATGGAAATTGAATTGAAAGCAAGAATCTATATTTTAAAATTTTGGGTGAACCTTTCCAGCACATTTACTGAGGTAAGCTCTTAAGGCATATCAGTGCTAGATTGCTTACTGTTGTACAGTTGGATAGTTTTGAGTTTTTTTCCTTTAGCTTTATTCTTGATACACAAGCAAGTGCAATATTGGCAATAAAACTGCCAGAAACTCAGGTTATTTAGTGTATATTAAGAGTCTAGTTAGAAACTTTTTTACACCCTCCTGAAATTTTTGTTATTAACAAATTAATACCATCTCTGTTAGTCATGACACTGTTTTTAGAAAGATTCTTTATTGTGGATTTAATTTTTTTTTATCTGAAACGGAAGACCTCTCTTAAAGTTAAATGATTTGTAAAAGCGTTTGAGTAATGGATTATGAATTACATGTGGTTTACAATTGCGGACAGTTTTTGTATTCCTGTTTGACGTACATAATATTGCTTTAGGGTGACAGAAGCTGGCTTGTTACTTTATAGGAATCTCCTTGCACCTTAATCCCTTCTCTTTCATCAATTCAACTTCATGCTGCCACATCTGACTGCCATTAGTCAGCTGAGTGGAGACAGCTGGTTACAGTTTAAAATGCGAACAAAATAAAGCAGTAGTTCTTTCAAGCTTCCATGAATTGAGGATCTTTGTAATATAGTCCAGATCAAGGGTCCTTTTTCCTTTTAAGATGAAGGGAAAGGATTAAAGAACACCAGTCATTGCCAACCGTTAGCGGTCACACAAATCAGAAAGTAACCTGAGGAAAGTACAATTTCACAACTACTTCAAGTACTCAGCTCTCCTGTAAAATGTTTGTAATATGAATCTTGAAATTTTATTGATTGTTTTTATCGTGAAGTTCACGTGCCAAGATTAAATTGCCCGAATCCAGAGAAAGCAAAAATTTGTGGAGGGTGCGAAAGGTCTGTTACAGTATTGAAATCGAGACAGAATGCAACATTTGGGCTAAGAAGTTTATTGTATATTTTATCTTGTACAATCTTTTTTAAATTAGTATTTTACTTGTTTCTTTACAAATTTAGTACAAAACTTAAATTGAAACATTTAAATGATGTTGTAAAAGGTTTGATTAGTTTTGGATGTCCAAATTTCATACAAATAGAATCTTTAATACTCAGTTAACCTGATTATAACGTTTAGTCAATATATCGAACATAAAACGGTATAGCACAGTACAGGCCCTTCGGCCCACGATGTTGTGCCGAACTTTTACCCTAATCCTAAGGTCTATCTAACCTCCACCCTTACCTTATACTATCATCCATATGCCTGTCTAGTAGCCGCTTAAATGCCCCTAATAAGGCTGACTCCACTACCCTCTCCGGCAATGCATTCCACACTCCGACCACTCTGAGTAAAGAACCTACCTCTGACGACTCCCCTATATCTACCTCCACTCCACTTTAAAACTATGCCCCCTCGTAATAGCTACCTCCACCCTAGGAAAAAGTCTCTGGCTGTCCACTCTATCTATACCTCTGATCATTTTGTACACGTCTATCAAGTCACCTCTCATCCTTCGTTGTTCTAAAGAGAAAAGCCCTAGCGCTCTCAACCTTTCCTCGTAAGACCTTCCCTCCATTCCAGGCAACATCCTAATATGCTGAATAATTCGCTTGTATGTGAGTGCTTGAAGTAATTTGCTATACTATGGTTACCAGATTGAATTCAGATGGTTCTTCTGAAAATGTTTTTGCAGAGTTTGACTTCAAATATTTCTTATTTTTACATGACTTCTTCTCGCTCTATTTATTTGAAGGATTGTAGAGTAGACATGCGTAGATGTTGATTACGGTCCAATACTTGATTGAAATGAGTTTGGACAGAGAATGATGGTGAAATATTTGACACAGTTTCACAGCTTGAGGTGATCTTATTTTTGTCTAATAGTCTCCCTGGAACATGATCAGGAATTGTATAAAATTAAACTCAGATCACCAAATGTGTTATACAGTATATCAAACTAGGTATCTACATATCAATTGACACTGGAGAAATAAACAATATACCTAATATCAGCAAGTACTGTATGTGGGTTTTATATGTCCGAACTGATGTAGGAATTTTCTGAAGGCTGAGAAGAAGGCTGGGACCTCTGTAATTTTCGAATCCTTGTAGCATGGAAAAGGCCATTTTGCCCATGGAGTGTGCACCAACCTGCTGAAGAGTATCCCACCCAAATCTCATTCCCTGTAACCCTGCATTTACCACAGCTAATTCACCTAGCCTACACATCCCTGGACACTAAGGAGAATTTACATGGCCACTTCACCTGATCGGCACATCTTTGGATTGCGGGAAGAAACCAGAGCATCCAGAGTAAATCCACACAGACACTGGAAGGATGTGCAAACTCTACAGAGTCATCCAAGGGTGGAATCGAACCTGGGTCCCTGGTGCTATAAGGCAGCAGTGTTAACCACTGAGCCACCGTGCTGCCCAATCATTCATAGATATCGCCCAATCCTTGCGTAATCATTTTACATTGGATTCCTTCCTGCTGGAAGGGATTTTTTTTTTTTTTTTTTTTTTGGAACTAGATTATCAATCTAAAATGCAATTACAAGTATTCAAGAATAGAACCTGAGAACAATGTTGGATTGATCTGCACTACTTTACAACATTATGATGAGAAATGGTCCTTTGGTTGTGGAGTTGTTTCTTAAAAGGGGCCAGTGGCTCCATATGTGGGGAGATGAAAAATGGCAAGGCACTTGAATATGGGCTATTTTTCTATAATATAGATGCAGCTTTATGAGAAATCTATTTTAGTAAGAATGCTTTAATTGGTTCTTAATGTTCTTATTCCAACTGGAAATATATTGCATGAACATAAAAAAATGATTTTAAATAATAAAGTTAAAATTATCCAGATTAAATATGCAATGTGCGTACAATTAAGGAAATTAATTTTAAATTCCCTTTTCAGCTGCTGAAATTTGTCCCCGAGAAAAGTGATGTTGATCTGCTAGAGGAGCACAAGCATGAAATTGAGCGCATGGCAAAAGCAGATAGGTTCTTGTATGAAATGAGCAGGTATGAATATTAGAACACTGATATAAGCAGAAATCTCTTGACAAAATAATTTGGTAGAATGCTTTTGTGCCAACATGTTGTTTATTGTATTGGCATGAGTTTTTGTCTGCAAGTGGTAAAAGTCTCCGTTAAGGTTAGTGTTACGAAGTTGGATAGAGTAATTGAGGTGGAAGGCAGGAAGCTAAAATGTGTGGTTCCTTTAAGACATTTGTGCTTTATCTCTACGTAGAAATTTTAAAAACAAGTGCGTCTGTGAGGAGCAGCCAAAGTTGCCAGTACAGAGAGCCTCAAAAAGTGAAACAGATGTATCAAAAATGCCTTACAGGTGACAGGCAAACCAGCAGTCTTGTTTTGATTAAAAACTGAAAGAACTGCAGATGCTATGAATCGGAAACAAAAACGAAGTTGCTGGAAAAGCTCAGCAGGTCTGGTAGCATCTGTGAAGGAAAAACCAGAGTTAAATTTCGGGTCCGGTGACCCTTTCTCAGAACTGAGGAGAGGTCACCAGACCCGAAACATTAACTCTGTTTTTTTCCTTCACGGATGCTACCAGACCTGCTGAGCTTTTCCAGCAACTTTGTTTTAGTCTTGTTTTGATGTTGTGACAACACGTTTGAATTCAGCCAATTAATTTAAAATCAAACATGGCGATTCAAAGCCAATTGAATTTAAATCTGATGGTGTTGATAACCTGAAACCAACCATATTATGAGAATTTGATTGTCATTATGGGTATATAAGACAAGGGCATTTGGAAAATCGGAGGGGGCCAACTGTCGTCTGAAAGACTCAACTGCTACCTGCCAGAGTTAGGACAATTCAGCTGTCAGAGAAAAACCCATCTAATCAAAGGTACCATGGTATTTTAGAGCTCAAAGTACTCATTGAAGAAATTAGAGATAAAACATTCCTGACAGCAGAATTAACGGAAGAAAGGCGTTTGGAGAGGACCAAAAATTTTCAGAAAACAGTCTGTGAGATCTTGGAGAGATTGAGTTATAATTTATTGCTTCTTATTAATTAGGTTTATATTAGTGGGACATGTTTTTATTTAAACAGTATTCATAGAGTTTAAACCAGTTAGGGAGTAATTAGTAGTCTAGGGGAGAATTGTTGGTTTGTTAGTAATTTTGTTAATTTGTTCATTGTTGGGTTAAATAAATAAATTGTTTCTTGTTACCTGTAAAGTGGAGATCAGGGATTTTCTTTCTTTTAACCACTCTTTAAATAGATTTATGAGCGGAAAGACTAGCTTCTCAGGGTGTTTAGGGGATAATTATTAGGGAGGAGCCCCTACTCCTGTCATAACAGATTAGGGCTTATGTTTTAGTTTAATTATCAGAGGGGTTTGGCCATTCCCTGTCGTAACATGAGTTATAGAAATGAACTGCAGGACACTTGTGGAAGTTGTAGTCTGGTTGAATATTAATTCTTTTGGACAAAAAATAGGAAACCTAAGGAAATATGAGTTGTTGTGTTGTAATAATATTCTTTTTAATAAGCCATAACATGTTTGCAGTAATAATTACAATTACACAAAGACTTTGTTTGGTTGGGTTTCTTGAAACCGACTATTGTCAGAAACAGAATATTTTTGTATTTGGATGCTGGTTGACTGTAGTTTACTCGATAGTGTTATCGACTGAAAGGTAGGGGGTCAGTTAGCTCAGTTGAGTGGACAGCTGGTTTGTGATGCAGAGTGCCAACATTAGGGGTTCAATCCCGGCACTGGCTGAGGTCACCATTAAATGTCTTGCTGCCTTAAAGTCACCACCAGTCATGTTTATCTAATGAGAGAGCAGTGTTTTGGTCATCTAGGAATGTGGCAACTTTCCTTTTGCTAGACTGAAAGATTATAGATACATTGCTATGCATAACTTGATAATGTTTGGAGACTCCCAATGCTTTTCAACTAAATTAAGGAATTGACTTAAATAAAAAGGAGGGAAATTCAGCTTCAATTGTGGTGTGAAGTGGGCAGCAACTGATTGGTCAGCTGTTCTAAAATCTTTCATCTCCACCTCTCTCTTCACCACCACCACCACCTACCCCCCCTCACCACCCCCCCCCCCCCCCCGCCTCCTCACTCCTTTCTCCTTCCTGTTGAAATCAATAGAAAGGGGATTGGGTTTGGACGCATAATGAATGACTGATTTGTTTATCTGATGACCCAGCTAAAGTTGAATTTCACTGCCAAAGACACAAGTGGATGTGACAGATCAGTTTAGTGTGTGCTCGAGTATGTGTGAGAGAGAGACTTTTACAGGTCTTGGCCTTAAAATATATTGTTTTGGGATGTCTTACCCTAATGTTAAAATGTCATAGTTAGAAAGTATACATTTTCTACTGGAATGATCTGTTTGAATTGTTTAATGATAGCAATTTTCGGACAGAATTCCTGCTGTAAGACACTGCATTCATGTTCATGTGGATTGTTTTTATTTTCACTAGAATTCCTCACTACCAGCAAAGATTGCAGTCCCTCTATTTCAAGAAGAAATTTGCTGAAAGAGTGGCTGAAATTAAACCCAAAGTTGAAGGTATAACTTCTGCTGTTATCAGTCTTGCTTGCTTTAGTGTTTCTAGCCTTGTCAGCATTCAAAGTAGATAAGATAAACATCGTTACTTAAGAATAACCAATGGAAAATTGTCTTAATTTTCTTCAATTGACTTCACTTGTCCTGTTTCACAATATGTCTAGTTATGTGCTAAAACATTTCCAATAAGTTTTTATAGTAAATAATTTCACAGAATCACAATTGTTACAGCATAGAAGGAGACATTGGTCCATAATCGCTGTGCTGGCTCACACAAAGTGTATTTCACCTCGTACTGTTTTTGTCTTCTCTTAGCCCTTCATTTTCTTCCCTTTTTTAGATAATTCAATTCCCTCTCGAATACCCTGATTGAACTTGGCTGTCTCTGTGTGTCTCTGTGTGTCTCTGTGTGTCTCTGTGTGTCTCT